ATTTTACAAATAAATTTTTTAGTTTTTTTATTTTTTTATAATTTTTAAAATTCCTTTAATATCCTCGAATGGGACCCCCAACCCAGCACAACTTCGGCTCGGTTAGTAACTCAGCCGAGTCCGAGTTGTTTTGACCGATTTTTCATACCCTGGCAGGTACAAAACATTGAATGAAGTATTTAAATCAAGATATTCCCTTTTGTAGCCGTAACTGTAAAATTGCCATAATCTTGTATTTTGAGCGGTAAGGGTGGCAACGGGCCGGGCCTGGAATGAGGCTGCCTTGGCTCTAAACCTGCCCTTGTCCCCATAGAATTGGCCAAAGAGTGGTCCAGCCTAGCTAGGCTAAGCCGGGCCGACACATAGCCCTAGCCTTTAGGCCATAAACTGTGGTCCAAGCCCTACTCTTTTGGAGCTGGGGGGCCTAACCCACGGCCACCCTATTGGGTGGGAGGCGTGCCGAACACTATTCACAGCACAACTTAAGGAATCTATTTTAAACTTCTCATTCAAAAATGCCACCTATAGGCCCCTTCTGGCTTTAGGAGTGTTTAATTTTTTAAAATTAAAATAAAAAAATACTGTTTTATCACAATGACGATAAACGTAGAAGATGTCTATTTACACGATTGCCTATGAAGATTTGGGAGTGGCCACCCGACATCAAAACAATGCCCTAGTCATCCCCTCAAATTATAACAATAAAAAATAAAAAAGTCATATTTGAAACATAATAATATTAAATTTGTTTAGACAAATTTATTTTGATTATAGTTATCATCAATTCTTTTTTCTAACTATTTAGGGTCTGCTAATCCTGATCCATTATTTTGCTCTATGAAAGGAGGTAAATTCATTTTGATACATTATAAAAAATGTTGATGATGCTTAAAATAGGAAAAATGTATGAAGGAAGCTTTTAACCAATTTTAGAAGACACCCACATAGAAAAATTTGAGTGGCATCAAGTTAGATATCTAATTTCCACATTAACCATTACAAATTTTAACTAATGGCTTCCATCTATACGTAAGATACGGGTCATTATAGTACACAATTGGTATAATCTGTAGTATTATGGTACACCACAAGTGCATCCATTGTCCATTCTAAATGACGAACAATGGGGATTAACGATACTACCCAATGAAAGAAAATTATATGGATGTCCCATGGTCAGTCACTGTAATTGGCCATCGATGCCTTCAAGTTGTATAAAAAGTGAAGGTACAAAAATATATTGTAGGTGACGTACGCATGCATCAAGGAAAAATACACCATGCTGCATTTTAATTTAAATATAATTAACTACAATCATCTGAACGACCAGTTGACCGCAAAACAGTTTCTGTGAACTGTACCGCTGCTATTGTGCGCTTTGGTGGGGAAACGTTCATCTCAACCATCCGTTGTCAACAACGATGGTTTGAGGTGACAAGTAGTTTACTGACTGTAAACTGCATGCCTTGTATCAGTGAGTCATATGATATTTATACCCATATTCGAGCTCTCAATTTTGAGAAGTTCCGAGTTTTTCTGGCAGTCCACAAATCCATGTTCATATATGTATCCCTATCTAGGCATTTCAGATGAAAACCAACCACATGAGGAAAGGAGCCTAGATATCGATCTCGACTACATTCCACAATGCTACATCCAAACTTACCAGCTTGCTCTAGAGGCTGATATACATCGGATACATCAATTTGAAGAATATTCACCTTTGGGGCCTTCATATACGCAAAAATTGTAGAAAATGTACCTACCCTAAATTCAAATTTCAATAATTTCAAAATACAAATTGAAGATCCTGCTCTGTAAGGCTTCATTTGATGATATCACAATGTCAAAAGTGTGAACTGGCAGCCAAACATGCTGCACTGAATTCTAACGTACATGGCAACAGTTGATCGGAGCTGCATTATGGATTTATTTCCGAAGCAGCGAATTTTAAAGCCTTAGGAGAGTGCAAATGTTAGTACTTGAAACACGCCACTCGACTCATACCATGTTTTCACAACCAATAATGATTCACATTAAAAAAAGGGAGGGATCAAACCCCGTAACTAAAATAACTTTCAAGGGTAACACACACATCATATAAAGTGATGAATCGCTGCTGAAACATAAGAAACACAACACAAAAGTACATGTGGACCTCGAAACACGCTCCTCTGCTTTAATCTAGCTTCACGTTTTCTTTTGGTTGGGATCTTCAGAGCATGCAATTTTCTTTTGCCGTTACATGTTGCATTTCTTCAAGTAATCCTATTTTATTTTTTAGAAAAATCCCACATGTAACATGTATTGTTCTTGATCGACCTAATTAATTTCGCGAGCTATATTTTTCATTTCTTATCCTCTTAATATTCTTCTTGTTTTGATGTTCTTCCCTGTTTCTTTAATAATATTCTTAATGATTTTTTCCATAAGTTTCTTCAATAGCACATTAAATATTTTGTGTATATCATATTTACGGACTCATGCTTGCATGATAGTATCTTTCTTAAGTTTAGAATTTGTGGTTCACCCAACCGCCTGGGTCTTGAGTCATTTAACTATGATGCCAGATATGCTGGTGGATAGATCTCCTCGATACATGTTAAGTCTACTTCATGATGCAATATATGATATGGACAACCACCTAAAATATTCTAGATTTGTGATGCAATATACTTTGTTTTTTTTGGCTCAAGAGGAAACGTGTATCTCAAGCTAGTGCATACCAAGGTTTAAAAAATCGGATTGTTGACTCGAATCGGCTTCACCTATACTTGTGTCTGATCGGAGAATCGGTGGATTGAATCTGAGAATCGGCTAAATCCGCAATTTTTGTCTAAAAAAATCACTATAAATCTTTAAAAATAGCGCTCTTTTAGTTTCTAAACGTAATCAGAAATGATATATTATGTACTGTCATTACTCTGTAAAAATAGGTGAATACTGAGACACTGTTTTCCTATCTGGATATCTGTATAATTATTAATTATAATATAGTATTGTAATATTGCATCAAAATAATTTAAATATTTATATATTATAAGATTAAAAATAATAATTTCCCATATAAAGTGAAATTAGAATCACATCAAAATATTAAATATTTATTAATTTGATTTATTCATCCAAAATTATGACAACCTAACTAACTATAATATTATACAATGAAATTGAAATTGTTGATTTATATATTATAATTATTTTATTATACAAATAAGATCAAATCTAAAATTTCTTATTATATTAACTAATTTAAAAAAATCTTATTTACGATTGTAAAAAAAAAATGCATTATATAATTTATAATGTAAATAAATTAATAAATAAAATACAAGATTTGGTTATCAATGTATAAAATTAATTATAATATTATAATAAATATGATAAAAAAATATTAAAAAATGCTTCTATAGTATATGATTAAAAAAAAAAAAACCCCAATAAAATTTAATATTATGATATCAAAAAATTTTAAAAAAAATTTACCCAAAAAAATGAAAAATAACGATATCAAAATTCAAAAATAAAAAACTACCTATCGGCAACATGCACATCGCTGATTTAGGATTTCTTATTTAATGAGCATGAAAATAAAGATAAAATACAACTAAGATTTCTCATTTAGGATTGCCCTCAAAAGGAAGCGTGAAAATAAAGATATCATACCCAAAGTTTACTATCTATGCAGCTTATCCCCCAGCTAATCTTTTTTCTCACCATTTACCCCATAATGACCTTTCCTTGCAAAAACTCCCCAAAGTAAAAAGTTGTTATTTTTTGTACAAAAATTCTCTTCCCTCCAAAAAAAAATAATCAATTGACGGTCCCAAGTAGTGTATTGCCGGAGCAACCAATTCAACTGTTGAAGCGAAGTGGCTCCAGAAGTTGTACTGTCGAAACGCATATTTGTACTACCGAAACGTGTCTTTGTACTGCCGGAGTGTGTGTCCTCATTGCCGGAGCGACTTATTCAACTGTCGAAACGCTATGGCTCTAAAAGGTGTACTGCCCAAGCGAGTCCTTGCATTGCCAGAATGCGCTGGCTCTGGAAGGTGTACTGCCAAAGCGAGTCCTTATATTGCCGAAACGCGTTGGTTCTAAAAGGTGTACTGCCAAAGCGAGTCCTTATATTGCCAAAGCGACTCTATGGAGCGCATGACAAGAGAGTCGTGAGTAAAAAGCACGAGGAGAGAATGGGGCAGTTTAAATCTTTTTTTTCTTTTGTTTTGGATTGAAAGGGTTTTGCGAGGAAAAATGATTGTGGGGAAAAAGTGAAAGAAAATGTTAGTTGAAAGTAAGTTGCATAGATAGGATAGTATACTGGAAGGGGGTTTTTTGCGGGTAAAGATGATCGTGAGAAGAAGTGAAAAAACAGGTTAGCTGAGAGTAAGTTGCATAAATAGCATACTTGCGAAGGGGGTTTTTGTAATTTTCCATAAAAATTTCATACCACAAACTTTGTAGCAAGTTTAAGCGGACCTTAGAGAGCACTAAGTTGTATAAATGCCGAGGCCCCCCATATCGTTATTTGCGTGCATGCTTGCGCATGATGCGCGACGGTCTTTGTTATGGGCCCGCTGGAAAGAGATTTTAGCATGCAGAACGGACAAAGAAAGTGACGTCATATGACAAAGCGGTTCCACGACGTTATCTGAAACAAGGAATTCTATGACATCACCTTATCCCAAATCGCCGAACCATGAAGTCATCATCATACCGAGATTCGACCAGTCCCGTTTTATAGCTAACGGCACAACCGATACTCGATTCTAGATTGAGCTGAATCCGAAACGGCCTAACCGATATCCGAATCCGGATCAAATCATTTTTTAAATGCTGATGCATACCAAAATGGTATTGTCTAGTTTTGGTCTAAATTGAGCTCCAATTTTTGGTTTTAATAATCCGTGTGGTAGGTAGGCCATGATACAATTCCTCCCACAAAGGAAAAACCTTACCAAGCTAGGAGGAGAAAAATGATAATGATTGAGTCAATTCCATGTTAAAGTAACAGAGCTGAATAATTATTACAAATTTGTTTCTACATTAAGCCACAATAAGGAAAACCTTATTTAATTTGGCCGGACCATTCAAAATTTTCCAGAAAAAATATTCTAACTTGCATATGAATCAAGAAGTATAACTCAGTATAACCACAGCAATAAATAAAATACGAATATACAAGATTTGATAATAATGAGGCCTATTTGTCAATTGCAGACTCCAAGTTGTTTCTAATGGATCTAGGCTTCACCATGAAGGGAAGTGAGACCTCTGCAATCAAGGATTCTGATATTTCTTCTCCAAAAGGTACTTCAAAAGCCAAAGGCTTGTATAGACAAACTTCATCTTCCTTACAGTAGTAAACCTGTGAAATGACATGCAACTGGATTAATACGCACTGCATCCGAACTTCTATAAGTAGCCTATATTCCTTTGTGTTCTTCAAATCTCATACAATGGGATACAAATGCGATAGGCAAGTCAGCCATTGCTGCTGGTTACTATAAGCAACATAGTCAAACAGTCAAGATAATATTTAGTTCTACTTTTACAAGTTGATGAACATATGTTTCCAAAGTGCTTTTCAAATCAGTGTCATTTGCTTCGGATGGCTCGTTGTTTCGGCCGGGAAAGAGAAGACTGCCGGGAAGTTTAAGTGTATTTTTTGAAGAAATATAAAAATATAAAATATAAAAAACATAGAAGTAGGCTCTTTCTAAAAAGTAAATTCAATATAACTTTTGAACAACCAGGTATATTCCTGATATCTTTAAATAGATCAGTGACTTTTTGAAAATATCTCCAATATATTCAGAATGTCCAGTTTGGATTGACTTACGCTGAAGATTTAGGCCGATTTGGCCTAAGCAAAATTAATCCAGAACATTCGAAACCCATAGCATGAAAGGTCTACAGGTAGCCAATTCCTGATCTTGCTTTATGCAAATAGCTTGAAAATTACCAGTCTATCCCATAATAGCAACAGCTTCTTAGTTAATGTAACAATGACTCATGTTCATTTCAATATTTGACCAATGTTGTTATAATCAATGAATTACCCTCAACATAAATGCTTCTGCAGGCCTAGACAAAATACAATATTTGAAGTGTGTAGTGTAGAGGGATATGGGTTCTGCCATTATATGCATGAGAGGGAGCATCTTGTCAAACATGGATTTGACCTATGGATGTCCTACTGGATCTGATAATAATGTGAATGACTATCATAAAGTTTTTTTAAAAAATATGACAATGCCAAGCTAAGAAGTCCACAAAATGGTTGGATCATCCAAATAAGGCAATTAGTTGACCTATTTATTATGAAAACTTGAAAAATTACAAGTGCATGAATATGTCCACTTGCAGCATGCAGCGAGTACAACAAGGACTAAACTGATTGAGTACGGTGCCTGCATTATCGAGAAAATGATTCCCAGAGGTGAATCTTCATAATGACCACATGGGGTTTGTAAATGTAAAATGTCAGTTGACAACACTAAAGGCTAAAATGTGCTTTGACAATTCTAAAATGACTAAAGTGCCCTTTTTCTTAAGCAATCAGGTTGACATTTGAACTACTATCGCCCATTTCATCCTCATTAATTTTATGCAGAAAACTGAAACAAACTACTTAATTATATCTGAATAATTGACATTTTCAGCATCATGACTATTTTTTGAGATGGTCATATATCCTATTCCCTTGGGCTATCAAATTCGTTAATGGATACAGAATTTGTGAAGTTATCTGTGAAGCGGAGTATGTCAATGAGAGTAGATGTTTTATCTTGGCAAAGATATACCTTACAATTCACTGTCACTTTTGCAGGCAAACGAGATGTTCTCTTGAAGTGCAGTGATGAAGATCCATCTGGGCCTAGAATTCCATCCAATGGTTCCACATAAACTGCGCCTTCAGGTTCAACATCTGCCTCGAATTTACTGCGAGCTTCCTGTGCTCGAAAGAAAGGGGAATAATCGGGACCATAGCCACAACCAGCAACAAAAGACATCGATAGCTTGCAACGAACTCAAAAAAATTCAAGAAAAGCTAAAGTAAGCACTAATTTGTTAATGAATAATTAATCGGTGTAATCTATCATCATCAAAATAGTTAAGATATTTTGATAAATTAACAATTACAAAATCTTGATACTGAGATATATGTACATTTAGTTTCAGTTTCAAGCATCAGGCAATCCTAGTATGACCATATTCCTTAATGATTTTCCTTAAATTAGAACCAAAAGAAAAAGTGGTAACAAAAATTCATAAAAGAGCAAAATTGGATAAGTAATGGTCAACAAGGAGAAGACATTCCCCACCCGTAACCATACAAAATAATATGTCAATTTATATCATATGAGTGCATAGTTTCTTATTTCTGAATCTATCCTCAAACTTTTCGCATTTGTCTAGTTCTTGAACTCATGGAAAGAATAACAAATTGGAACTACAACATAAAATTGCAGTGCTGGAATTATGAAATATAGTAGAAAAATAGTGGCAGCTAATTGTATTTCAGGAAGTTCAGATGTCAGAAATAAACGCAATATTAGAATGAGTTGACGAAGTTGGTAGTGAGACCTTGGAGAAATGGAAATCCTCAGGAACCGAGATCTTTAAACTCAAGTTTCCTTCCATGGAAGAGATTCTCTCAACTGTTATGATCTGTGCATTGGTTGATTGTCTTCTCCTGAGGCGTTTCAAGGCATTGGATTTTGGTGATGGAGATTGGACTCCTTTCAGTTCCAATGTGCTGATGGTAGCCCCATTATCCTTCAAATCTATACATCTGATCGCATTGTTGTTTGTATCCGCAACGAAAAGCCTCCCTGAAAACAGAGATCAACTCTTGATTAATTGAACTTAATGGTGGTTTCATTTCACGTACAGACATATATGATCATCTTGTTATTGTTAAACAAATACCAGAAATATATCCCTGCAGAAAAAGGAACAAAATATGCAGAATTTAAGTAAATTCCACCAGAAATCTAGTGCCTTCCACAAGAAATTTTGCATGCTTTCTCATACACAACAAAGCATGTGTCAATGTGCATATATACATTGCGGTTGATGTCAATAATTATAACAAATGATTTACATAAATTGCAAAAGCAACTGATAGTTATATTTACTTTCTTCCTGATTTTTCTCCCTCCCATATGATAGAAAGGATTTTTCCACATTACGAGCAAAGCAACAAACCTAGGTTTCACAAAATTGTGAATCACAAAACTTATGTCCAATCAATGAGTGGCTCCATAGAAGAGATCACCCTTATGAGTGACATAACAAACAACAGTATATACAGTGACATGAATAGCCAAATTAGCATAGTGTACGATTAAGTGCAGTTGAAGGAGAACTAGTGCACCAGATTCCCCCAAAATCCCTAAAAGTTAAGTGTGCTTGTTCAAGGACGGTTTTGGCACCTACTGGATAGCTCACAGCAAACCAACATGAACTGATAAAACCAGGTCTTTTCAAGACTTCGTTCATCGATCAACAGATAAGACATTAAAGTTGATCAACAAAGAAGACATTAGAACTTTATCCAAAAAAAAACAACAAAGAGAGAAGACATTCGTTAATAAATTAGAATGTAGAAAAATGGACATCAACCATTACAAACGATAATTAGATGGACAAAACTTCACCTTTTCCTCCTCCAACAATTCCTGAGGGTTCTGAAAGCTGCAAGAGAATTGCAAATGACTCAAAAATCATCATGGACGTATAAAGGCAATGTTCAAGAAAGTACTTAGAACTCTGATAGGTAAATTTTGTGGGCTACTAACAAGAACAATCTTCGAATTTTATAACGTCCATGAAGTTTTTCTAGCATGGAGCTTACTAAAATTGATAGTGTCTTTATCATGGGTCAGAATAGATAAAAACCCTAAACTTCCTACTGAAAATTGAGTCTCTGGCAATCTGTCCAAGAAAATGAGCAAAATCTACATGACTAGTTTCAGAAACTATCAAAAGTCGGCATGCAATTACCATCATTATTTAAAAATTTAGATCAATATCTATTAGAGAAACAAATTTTTACTTTATGGGCCATCAAAAGAAACCTACCTTCTACAGTTAAGGCTTGTCATCAAGGATAAATGATAAAATTACTAAATACAACAATATCATTTTCTATTTTTTTTTCCCCTTAACAGAAACAATTCAGGATTATTGCACTATCTTCACCTGGGCATGTAGAGCAGATCCATTCTCGAAACCTGCAATCCCAGTCCCAGCTATTGTGGTTGCTCTTTTTGAAACTGGCTCCAGGTTTTTTATCTGTCATTTGAGAGAAATCATTTAAACACAGCTCAGAATGGGCTAAAGTTGAACCACGAAATAGAAAGAAGAAAAGCCAATGGGACAATAACATGTAGTGGGTTTGATTCTTTACCAAAATATACTGTGCTGACAGGTGATTTTAAATAAAGAAATTGACAAAAAAAATTGTCATTTTCTGGGTAGGTAAAATTTTCTTGCAACAAAATAGACTTCCCAAATCGCCACTTATCAGAGCACTCCTCTAGTCAATTATTTTTTGTCTTAGATTTATCAGGCTTCATAGCACTTTGTGCCCACTATCGATGACATTAGTAGTTCTTGTTTTATGGAACAAATTCTGTTACTTTTCATCCAAACTTGATTAGACGCTGAGCTGAATACCATCATAACTATACCAAATCAAATAGAAAATAAGTTTTTCAAAGACACTGAGACACATATATGGGTTTGTCTAATAATTAACAACCTTCAAAATACAAAGGTACAGTTTTGAGATGTGAATGATGTATCTACTAGGACATTTAATTTTTAGTCAAGAGTTTCTCTTTGTAAGTAGCTTAATCATGAAGGGTCTATTTGAAATTTACACAAAATTGCAATGGTATTTTTAAAGTGAGTGTCCTGCAATGTTATTAATGCATTTACACCCTTGTCTTTAGTGAAAATTCCAAACAATAATAAATAACTTGAGGGTCGTTAGAATACTAGTTGTATTAATAGAAGGTAGAGGTTCTCACGTATATGAGCTGCAAAGAGAACTGCAATGAAAGCAAATTACTTCTAAAAAATAATAAATAACATTAGGGTCTTTAGAATACTAGTTGTATTAAGTTAATATGTGCTACTAGCACAAATTAACTTAAAAAAATGTCACATACCTAAAAATGGAAAAGGAAACAAAAATCATATGTTTTGCATAGTTGGATTAACCAAATGTCATTATAATTGCAAAAGGCTCATTTTTATCATAGATCACTAACACTTTACAACAGTAAAAGCCCATGATATAATATCAAAATTGCCTTCACATATTACGTAGTTATCCACATTACACACTTTTCAACGGTTTTAGAATTTAATTTAGTATTTATTACGTGAAGATCATATTATTTGTTCTTTATAAGGCACATAGTAATTCAATGTATCTAACAAAATACTCGAATGGAAGAATAAAAGCTGGTTGAAGGATTCTGTTAATCTTGAGCTGCCAGATACAGATTGAAGGATCTAGGGATCCTCAGAAAACTCAGGATACTCATACAATAGTGATGTTATAGCCTGAAGATTTAATTGATTATAAAGCTTACACAATAGCCTTCCTGCGAGTGAATCCGCCATTGAAATAGGTCCATTTAACATGACTCAAAACTAAAGGATAAAGAATGCACCAAACAATTCTCAAATAGAATTCAAAGTCACAGGAACAATCGACAAGACCTTCCGTATTAATCATTTGCTTAATTAGACCCTGATCTGCAGGGGTTTAGGTCATGTGGACTGAGACTATAAATAAGCACCAATAAATGCAACAAATTGATCAGTTCACCTTATGGTTATATGAATCTGCAACATAAATTACACCATCCTCCCCACAGAAGATGCCCAAAGGATGCTGTAAAAGTGCCTCTGAGCCAACTCCATCGTGGTCCCCGAACTGTGAAATACCATAGAGATGGAATCAAATGGGGTATATAAGTGTGTTCTGTGCAGGCTCCAATCATTTATTGGAGATGAAGTACTAACATAGCATAAATCCACCAGAGGGAGTACCTTAAACAAGTTATCAGGGAAGAATGGGTCGCCGCCGACCAGCAATCTCGATCCTCCAGTGGTCAGATCTAATGCTCTGATGGAACTACTCTCGCTATCAGCTACATAAATCTCCTTTAAGTCTGTAATAAATTTACTATTACTTTCCTCGAGGATGATATTATTGAATCTGAATTAGGATAGAACCAAAATGTGTAATATATTACCAGGGGATAAAGATATTCCAGATGGTTGGGCAAATGAAGTGCTTGTAGAACTATCTCAACAGAAGAAATCAAGAATGTCAGATACTTTGACATAAATAATAAATATTGACATTGTAAGGAGTAAATCTACCGCCTAATCGACGTTCTGGGTGAAATACTGCTTTTAGGTGTTTATGACTCAAATAACCATGACAAAACAAGGTAGATAAAACAAAACATTTACACCATACCACAAATTTCATGAATCAGATGAAAAATATATTTGGAGAAAATGCTTCAAATTAGATATAAACTAGAACAGAATTGTGAGTTCTCATCTTCAAAGGAAAAAATATCTCATTGCGAGAACATACAAAGTGACAATGGAGAAATTTACCCAAATTATTAACTATGATACATTTTCAATGTCTTTTGTCATACAAGTTGTTTTCCCCAATTAAAATACACATGCAGCAAAATAGAGAAAGGAATGTTAATGTGTTGCTTACATCACATCTTTAGAAGGCATATGTGAAGTTTATCTTTGTAGAGGGTATGTCTGCAGATTTAGTCACAATGGGTACTTTTTATAATTATATCTACTGTATCTCTACCCAAATGAGCATAATCTTAATCGAGTATCACCATAAATGTCAATTCTTTCAGTTCAGTCTCTTTATTGTTTGTAAGTTTTTGTTTATGGGTAATTTAAGTGTTTCATTCATTTTTATGTCACTACATATACATAATAGAGTAGAGCCATTATTAAGGTTGTGGAATGAGTTCCACGATGCCTCACCAGTCACTCCTTGAGATAAGGAATCAGCATCCACCAACAGTATGCACAGAAATGTTACACCAATGCTTACTAATATTTAAGGGGTGCGGTTTATATAGAGCCTAGGCTCTAAACAATCAAATTAGAGCCTACCTTCAATTAGTGTCGAGAAATGTGGTTTCAATATTGAAAATCTTTGTGATAGCCCTAAACTATATTTTCATATTTATTTATAAAGTTTAAAGCTTCAAAAATAGTGTAGATCGATCAACATATCTATGAAAACTTGAAAATCTTGAAAATTGACGGTCCAAAAATGCAATACAAAATATACTATTTCCAAAACTTGCAATCCATTTTTTCCTCATGTCCATGCATCTTGATGTCGAGATGATC